AAGTATCCCAATGTAAGGAAAGTATGAGAGAGGACAACATTACTGTGTATGTAATGGGCTCAATTCAAATTGTAAGACCCCAGGTCTGCAGCTTAACTTCCTAATAACTCCAGTCTGAATGCTGAATGAAATGAAAGTTCCCTACTTCAAATATTGCATCCCTCTACTAAGGTGTGGTTAGGTGCAACATAGGTGTGTTCTGATGCCCTCATTTGGGCTTGTGGGCTTGTGCAGGTCCTTTACTATAAGGTGAACCAGTGTTTTTAAATAAGAGCTGCTGCTTTCTTTTTTTTTTAAACTTACCTGACCACAATGACTCCATGTAAATATACATGTGCATAACGGGGCAGATTCAAGGTCAGGCATAAGATCAGTTAGCTCTCATTATACCTGTTCTACCGAATGTGGAAGGAAGTTGACCTTAATATAACGTGCTGAGGAGCCAGAAGAAGGTGCCAGTTAAAGGAGTGTCTATCCTTTCAATGCCTCAGAAGATGACTCACACCAGTCTCCCTTCCACTTTGGTAGAGTGGATGAAGGAAGCTGGTGTCACCAAAGGCATAGTCCTGCTGCAGCGGGGTTCCACAGGTGTCACTAGTAGGGAGGGTCTATACTTTTGCCTGCCAAATTTCAATTCCTGCCAATAATAGAAGAGGATTGCATCCAGTTTCATTCTCAGATCCCAGGATGATTTGGCAGGCTGGGCAGCCAGAATAATCTATTGAACTAAAACACAAGTAATCACAAAATCCCATGATGCTGTTTTCCCCAATCACATTACAGAGTAGAATCACACTTGAATATAGCCAAACAGAAAGCACATGCTTCCCAACTTGCCCCTTAGGGTATGTCTACACTACAGAGTTTTTTTCAGAAAAACTGCCATTTTTCAAAAAAAAACTTCACTTATGTCCACACTGCGATTGTGTTCTTTCGAAAGGAAATCAAAAGAATAGAGGGGTTTTTTTAAAATTGGTAAACCTCTTTCTATAGGAAGAAGCCTTTTTGCGAAAGAGCTCTTTTGGAAAAAGGCGTGTGTGGACAGGGAAGAGGGAAGAGGAAAAAGCACAGGTGCACTGATGGCCATTCCGCCCATAGTAATCACAGTTTAAATGCAAGATAGCGTTCCATGTGGATGCTATCTTTTGAAAAAGCAGATCGCTTTTTCAAGGCACGTTGCCAATGTGGACGCTCTCTTTCGGAAGGAGTTTTTTCGGAAGATCTCTTCTGGAAAAGCTTCTTCTGAAAGAAGCCTGCAGTCTAGACATAGCCTTAGAACTACACAGAGTTGCAGCTTCAATCAAATGTTTATGACTGAGTCTGAAATCCTGAAGAATCATGGTTTTAAAATCAACTCTGACAGACCCTTCTAACACAAGCAGTGGATGCTGTTGCTGCTGCTATAAAAGTTAACTTTGAACTGCAATTAAAATTCCTCAGTGTTCAAATGACATGAACATCTGACATCTCTTGCAGTCTGTCTCGTTATTGACTTTCAGTTATCTGCTGCATTATGCTCAGTAAGTTTTCATTAAAAAGAGTAACTCGTGAATGAGGCTTCAATTATAGTTCAAATTCCTATTATTTGCTTCAGAAGAAAAAGAGGATTTTCACAACCAACACCTGTATGTATTTTTAAATAATTCATTGACATTAGGAGGTAGAACTGGAGAACTCACTTAATTAGAAACATCAATAGACACCCTCTTGCTTAACTTACAAGAAGACAGTTTTTTAAAAATCACACACTCTGTAAAGACGTTAAAACAAATTAAAGTAATACAGCCATCCACTGAGACTTTAGCTGCAAATATCCATAGATGTTGAGTGCATAGATCAATAAGCTCATATATAGGTCCTCAAGATTCAGACTGACAGATCTGAAGGCATAATCCCCACCACTCCTGAAGTTATTAATCAGAATAGTCTAGAGTATTATTTATCTCCTAAGTTCTATTTCTACTGTAAGTGTTCATTACCATTATTCTTCGATAAAGCCCAGCATTTCCATACAGCCATAATATCAACTAAAATATGGAATACTCATGGAAAATTCTAAAAACCTATTATGAGGTCTGGATCTCAAAAAAGTTGAGCAGTTCAACATAGGTCCATTGTATTTTAAGTGTCTCTGAACCTCTTTGGTCTAGACATCAGACTCGAAAGCTTGCAAGATCAGTCTGCCTTGGCAAGGTTTCCAGCACATCTTGGATTCGACTGGGTCAGAACAGTATGGTCAAGATATTCTGGACCATCTATATATGTTCCTATAAAAGAACAGCAGATGAAGCAGACCCAAAATATAAAAAGTGCCACTGCAGGCTGGGATCACAGCTGGGGGCGACTGGACGCTAGGCCCTGCAGTGGTGGAAGACCCCAGCAGCTGGGACCCACAGATGGAAGAGGGCTGGCAGCAAGGAGGGCATAAAATCTGGGGTATACTTCCTATGCCTATGTTGGTATCTGTCCACAGATCTTTACCAAATCCCAGCCTGAGGCTTACAAGCCCAAGTTGACTGGCCTATCCCAGCCTGAGGCTTACAAGCCCAAGTTGACTGGCCTACGCCAGCCACAGGCATGGGTGCTGGAATAATTTGTGTTGTGGAGATGCTGAGAGCCATTGAACCAAACTATAAACCCAGTATATAATGAACACCACTTCAAGCCAGGCAGTGCTGTAGCACCCCCCTTCCACCACCCCGCACCCTAGTTCCAGTACCTGTGGCCACGGGTGTCTGCTTGCTGTGTGGACAGACCTTCTGTGATCTGTTCCTTCTTATGACTCATCCAGAGAGCTGAAAGGCTCAGAACCTCACCCCTCCTAGGGGAACAAGAAGCCCAAACAAAACCCTACAGCTGTAGTGACCACGTAACAGGTCTTCACCCTCCATGTGAGCTCAGTAGTCCTGGCTCCTTTACGCTTAAGGCCTACACTACCTCTCATGTAGGGAGAGGCTTAAGGGAATCTGGGCCCACCCTCTCTTCTGGGTGATAAGAAGGTAGAGTCTGTTTTGTATGATCCTTGCCTGGCTCCCTTGGCTGCTTCCGACCTTAGCATGTTTTCAGGCATCTTTCCTGGAGCTGTGCTCTCCACTTCTCTCTGCTTGCAGCTTTTCCCTGTTTTGTGCTGAGGAGTTTTCTCAGGATGGCTCCTCTCTAGCAGATGCCGGACTAGAACCCCAGCTGCCTTCGTCCGTTAGGTCCAGTCATTTGGTAAAAGCTCCCTGCTGTAGGTCCCACAGTCCTTCCTTGATAGGAACTGCCAGTCTGGTTATCCCTGGCTTGGTCTAACCCTTCATTACCAGTCTCCCCTTCAGGCATTGCAAAATGGACTAATAAGGACCTGTGGCTGCCTTTAATATTGTCACCGCCAGTGTAGGGTCAACCCCAAATGGCCAGTTATGACTTTATCAGAGGACTTGAAGTGAGATAAAAGAATAAGCATTCGAATATTGAAGGTGATCAGAGAGGCCCTGTGAAAAATCTGAGCTACTTTGCTCATCTTCAATTCTCACAATTGGCTGGTATCCTTCCAGTCACATACTGATTGCCTTAGAATGGTGGTTCTCAAACTACAGCTCATGCTAAGGCAGGGATGGGGAACCTAAGGCTCCCAGCTTGCCTGGATCCAGCCCTAGAGGCTCAGGGTTCCCGCACCCCAGTATTTGGAAGCCCATAGTGGTGCTCCAAGCCCCGCCCCACTGGATCACGCAAAA